CCGGTTGGGGCTGCGACCAGGTCTCCTGGCCGGAGGTGCCGGTCGGGGACCGGATCGTGGTCTCGGCCTGTCATTGTGTATCTGGGCCGGCCCAGATGCGCGTTGTCGCTGCGCTGCTTGCTGGGCCAAGTATTGCAGGGAAGCGGGTCTATTGGGGACCCCGGGTTTATGAAGCCGACATGTATACATATATTTAATCATATCTTACTCTTTGGCATGTTTCCTGCTGCACCTGCTGGTGTTAATGTGCATGATGAATGCTTCATCTGGATCACAATATTTATTCTGTCTGTTGCATTTTCGTGGGGTAGAAGTGTAATGTATGTTGTTTAGGTATGCATCACCCAAAAATGCTGGAATTTTGTTTACACCCTTGAGGGAATATTTAGATCTGTTCTATAGAATCAGCGTTATCTGTTGATAGTATTTGCATCTTTTAATGGAACTCTGATAAAATTCAATTCAATTTTCAAATCTGACTCTTTTCATATGCTTCTTCTGTCGATGTAGGGATACAGGAGATGGACGTTGATGCATAGAATCTGCAGTAAAAAAGGAATAGCTGTTATGCAATGTATCGATCAACATAACATTGTACCTCCCTCATTGAATTTCTTTTCCACCTGTCCTCGGTAGGTGCTGCTGAAGTTTAAACTTATCTGTGCATAAAAAGTAGCAACAGAACCCCGCTGTTCTTTCTGAAATAGGCCTCATCATCCTAGTTTTATTTTGTATATATTTAGCACCCATACATTTAGGATGTTGACATCCTGACCCTGACTCGGATCTAGGGATAGGGGCAGCGACGCCCCCGGCGGCCGCCCCCCTCCCCCAGCCGCCGCCGCCGCCGGCAGCCACCCAGGCGCCAGCGGCACCCTCTCCCTCCCCCTCCCTACTCCCTCCTTGCCCACCAGAAGCCCTGCCTTCTCCCCTACACCAGGCCGTGGATGCGCACCCTCCCCGCCGCCGCCTCCGGTTGTCGCTTCGACGACGCCGCCCCGGCACCGCCGAGCAAGCTGCAGGGCAAAGAAGCTGGCGTTGATGGCCATGGGGCGGCTGCCCGGCCAACAGCGCCACCCGCGCCGCTGCCTGCGGGGTCTGCACCTCCACCAGCAGCGGGGCGACCAACGGTGCCGCTACCCGCCGGATCCGCGCCTCCGGCCCAGCCATCGGGGACTAGCGGGCCCGTATCTGGGGCTGCACGGCCTGATGATGGGGGAGGGCCCTTGCCTCTGGGTCGCCGTCCATCATGGGCACAATTCGCGGCGAGCTCAGCCCAGCGCCATAGGCAGCCTCGGGACGCCCTGCCGCAACCTCGCCGTCCTCGCTCTCTCCCTTCACCCAACCCTTCCACCCACGGGAGTGCTCAAGGGGACACTCCAAGGCTCGTCTCTGGGCTAAGGATGAGGATGACCTCATCGATGTCTCGGATGCGGAGCGGACATCGACCTCCTCCCCAACCACCAACCTCGATGCGGCTCGTCGAGGCTAGCAACGACTGAGGTCGCCGCCAGCCGAGAAAGCCCGGCCACGCTCAGTCGTCGTCGGAGGCGAGTGCGGCTATGCTGTGGGGGCCGGCGCTGTCGGTGTGCGACGCAAGCGCCCTCGCCGGCCACGTCCGCGGCTCATCCACGGGCTCCTAGTCCGTGGCCGGGACGGGGACAGCGGGCCTAGCCGGAGTGCCCGTGATCATGCGTGGTGTCGGCACCCAGTCCATCGGAGGCTTGGACCACAACCTGCTTCCAACGTCCGACGGCACTTCTCCGCTCCAGACGTAGAAGGCTGGCGCAAGGTGCTGTCGTGTGGGTCATTTGGAGGCCGCGATGAGGCTCTGCCACCGCGCCCAGTGCCCCGTTTTCTGCCACAACTGCCCGGGAAATGCCTCAATTGCCTCTCCTCCAAGCACAGGGTGGCGACCTACAGACTACCCCAGCGCTGCCTGCGTTGCAGGGGCTTCCGCCACCATGCACGCGACTGCAAGAGGCCCCGAGCAGGCTCAGCAAGGACCAGCGTGCCTGATGAGTTGGGCGCACCCCATCGACGCGTCCAGTCACGCACTCACGGCGGTACATGTGGCTTGCGTGCGGATGGTGGTGTGCTGGGCTCGGACGAAGCCGTGGCGGACACCGGAGGGCGACGCAGCAAAAGACGCCGACACCGACGACGTCGCAGGCATCGGGAACGACCAAGAGATGACGGCAACGCTGCGGCGCCAGACAACACTGCCGCTGCCAACGACAGTGCTGTCTAGAATGGTCATGGTGAGCCAGGAGGAGCTATGCTTGCATCGATCGCTGCTGCATCTGAGCCCACCAGTGAGGTATGGAGCCTTTCCGAGCTCGATCTGTTGCTCACACAGTACTCGGACGCCACGCACGGACGCCACGCACACCGCACGCGACGTCTTAGAGGACCCAATGATGGAGGAGATTGCTGCCTCGCTCGCGGTCTGTCGGATGGCCGCCGGTGGCCGCCTCGGTATCCCTGCTCAGACGGCAACGGGCTTCGCTCCACGGCCACCTGAACACGGTCAGGCTCAGGTCACGCCACTTCGGGTGGCGCAGACCACCCCCTCAGGAGTTGCCGCCCCTGTGGAGGATGAGGAGGGCGGTCCACCTGGCTTTGGTCTGCCCGAGGCCACGGCGGATGCTGACATGTTCAGTACGCCACCTCGGGAGGACCGCACGGTCGACGTCAGCGGTAGCTCCGCCGCGCGCCGCCTCAAGAGAGCTTCACCAGGCACGTGCTAAAGAAGGTCGACTCTCCGCTTATTCGTGAGCCTCCCAAGTAGCCTCTTGCTAAGTCGGTGATGCCGTGGCGGAGCAGACGGTTGGCGGCTCAGGGGCTCTCTCGAGTACCTACTTCCAAGCGAGGTGAGGCGCTGATCATGCAGCGTATGGGCTACACCAAGTGTCCAGCAGCGCTATCCGCGTCGGAGCTGGAGGCCTTTGACAAGATCTTTGACGGCAACCTGACTGCATCCAACGTCGAAGCGCTAGGCGTGCTTTTCCCGGACGGTGGAAAGGGCTCGTCCTTGCAGCCGCGAAGACACAAGGGCACCTCCTAGGTCGCACCGCTGCGTCGATATTGGTTGTTTTCTTTTACGTAATATCGAAACTAGAGATCTTCTACTAGAATGGTCCAGCTACAGCTGTTTTAGGTCGACCTCCTTTGGCGTTCGGTAGATGCGCGTTGTCTGTATGTTTAAACTCTTCTTCTTAATACAATGATACGCAAATCTTTTGCGTATTCGAGAAAAAAAAAGTTCTTTTTGGAATGCTTCTTTGGTGTAGCACAGTTTTACATAAAAACCTGAAACAAACTTCAGTACGCTCTTTTTTTTTGAAAACATAACTTCAGTACGCTCTTAAAGGTTTTGTTTCAAGACTTCTGTCTCGCTGGGTAGTGCTTCAGATGAGGGCTTCTGAGCCGTGCATTGCAGATGTGGTATGTGTTTTCCTGAGAAGACACCGGATAAGACACACCGTCTTGGGCTTAATCGTGTCTGTTTTGTGTTCACGAGTTGAAACTTCTCCCCTGGCCCCTTCAGACAGTTGTCTAATCTGGAAAGCTGCATGCCCCGTCCAGTACTTCATTTGCTTGTGCTGGACTGCTGGGGCTTGGTGGTAAGGTTATCTTGTCCTGACGAGCTTCCGTTGCGGAGGCACGAATGAAAAGTGAAAACTGCTACCAGTAGCCTCTGGTTTCTTCCATGTGGATTATTGAATCTATAGTCATGATGTTCAATTTTTCTTAAGATGCTCTCACTCCGAGACGTTGAGACTTGAGAATTGAGTTTAGCAGGGAATAAGGTACGTCCTGTTGGCGTTTCTTTTGATCCTACCACCTGTGTAATGCATGTCTGCTCTGGTACATGCTCCATCGTGGTCCATATAATTGAGCATTCGAGCTGCCTTCGTGCTAGAGCTACAATTGTTTTAGTGATCTTATCGGTGAGGTCCACGTCAACATGCAAGGAACCAAATCGAAGTAATATGCCGATTTGCCTGTCAGTTTGACTGACCACGTCGCTGACACTATCATATCGATCCTATCTTGATCTGCAAAGAACCAAATCGAAGTAATATGTTTTCGTCGACACTGATGCCCGAATGGGCAGGTGTCGGTGGGAGGGGTAGCACATTTGGAGCTAAATACTCGGTCGAGAATCACTTTGTGGTTAGTCGTCAGGGCTACGATGTTCTGGTGTTGTGAATATTTTCTGTGTTTTAATCTGTGCCTATGTAAAGTTTTCAGCCCTGGTTTCTCTTATAAACTAGGCCAATTCTATTTATCTTAATTGAAAGACGACGCTCCTGTCATTACTTTCAAAAAGAAAAAAGAATCGCTTTGCGGGTGACATGGAGCACGGCTAAACAGCAGATATAACTACATCAATACAGTTTCGCTTCGACATGTAGCAGGAAAAAATTGCTCTTTCCCAATATTGATGATTACACCTCATTATACATAAATAGACATAACTGATGTCAATACACTAGTAATAGTCATTAAAGAACTAGACCGAGCCCTAAATCAACTGAATAGAGGGAAGCAAAGAACGACGAACGCCTGAGGAGGTCCTACATCTTGCTGGGCCTCTATGCATCTTCCGTTGGCTTTGCTCCAAATGCTTTGGTGTTGTGATATCGGCGTCTAATGCGGAAGCGATTGCTTGAATCTACCGCGAGATGCTCCCGAGAGATCGCACACACCACGCAGGAGACTCGATGTTTGGTAACAAGGTTCGGCCGAAGCCTACGTCCCCAGGGCATTGCTTACGGGCGTTGCTCCCCGAAACCGCGACATTGGCCGCCCGAGGGGCCGGCCAAAACCGTGGCACCCCTCTCGAGCCTGTCACCTTTGTGTTGCTACTCTCAAGTGGTGGGTTACAAGTGCAGCCTCCTCCTCCTTTTATAAAAGGGCTAGGTTACAAGAGTCAACACCTAGCTCACTTAACCATATACTGCTAATTACAACACAAATCCACTATAACCCCATTAGTACAAATAAATATTCGACACATTTCTAACATTTGGCGCCTCCTTGTCCTCGATCTTCTGAATCATGTGTTGACACTTCACCTTCTCGGCTTCTTGGTAACCCTCACGTAGCTTCCGTTTAATATTCTCCATCTTCTTGCTTTGAGTGATGACCGGCTTCTTAGCCTCCATCTTCTCGCTTTGAGCGGCAACCGGCTTCTTGGCCTGCATCTTCTCACTTTGGGTGACGATCGGCTTCTTGGCCTCCATCTTCTCGCTTTGAGTGACGATCGGCTTCTTGGCCTCCATCTTCTCACTTTGAGCGACAACCTTCTTGATTGCTATAGAGATGCCCTGGCGTGGGATCCGATCAATAGAGAGCATGACGAGCTCATCCTTCACTGATGTAGCTGTGGCGAATGTTGGCCGCCTTCCACCCGTGCACTACGTCGCCTGCGAGGGTCCAGATCTAGGCCGAGCCATGGTTCCCGAGGGCGCCGATGGCCCTTGCGAGGTCAGTGGACGCCAGCGCGCTGTGCAGGACAGGCGTCAGCCGCAGAGTCTCGAGCGCTTCCACCATAACATCATCAAGCGCAACGCAGAGCTGCTTGGCCACGTCGTCATCCTCGGCGCGGTGGAGGAGCTGGACGATCCGGACCCCCACTTCTCGGAACGCGGCGCGCAGGTGGTCGGCTGCCTTGATTGCTTCGTCAATGGCACCGAAAGCGCTATAGAACGGCCTCTGGCGCAGGCTCGGCCCTAGGGCAGGGCGAGCGGGGCGGCCGCTCGAGGCCCTCCACGGCTCCACACCAAAGGGCCCCACTAGGGATGTATATTATACTTTGTATGGCTTTTGGTTCTAATTCGTCTAAAAGTGGATGAACTTAATGTAGATAGGTTGCACGTAGAGGTACATAGGCGGGAGAGAGGAAGACACGCTGCGTGGCATGGGATGATATGATTATGCCAAAGTTTCTTGGTGGAATGGGCTTCTAAGATATTGAGCTATTCAATCTTACTTTGCTTGCGAAGTAGGTTTGGCGGATCCTTCAGGAACCGACATCTCTGAGCGTCCGGATTTTAAAGGCGGATTATTTTCCACATGGTGATCAATCTTGGCTCCACCCCCTCTAAAATCTGGTGATCAATTTTGGATGGTAGGGAACTGCCTCAGCTTGGCCTGATCAGGAGAATCGACTTAGGTTTGGCTAGGTTAGTTTGGAATATGGACTGGCTACCGAGTGATAGTATGCGGCGGCCAGTACCCAGCGCTCGCCCACACCACCCACAGCTTGTGAGCGAGCTAATTGACAGCACATTGGCAGCTTGGGAACAAATAAAGCTTTAGGAATTATTCATACAAACTGATATTGATGTGATTCTTAATATCCCTCTATGTCATTGGAGCCAACCAGATTTCCGGGCTTGGCATCCTAACAAGACGGGAGTTTTCACAGTGAGATTCGCATATAGAATGCTTATTATGCAGCGTGCTTTGTCGGAGAATGCAGCAAGGTCTAATAGGAGAGAGGAAGAGGAGTGGTCGTCCTTGTGGCAGGTCATGGTGCCTTCAAAGGTATGAATTTTTATTTGGCGGATCGCAAAGCACGCATTGCCATCAGCAGATGTTCTTCCCTGTAGAAATATGGCTGATCATGACCAATGTGCTTTATGTGGAGCCCTTGATTCTTGGAAACATTCCTTGCTTGAGTGTAATATGGCGAGATGTGTATGGGCATTGGAGAGCGTGGAAATCGTCGAACACCTCAGCAAGATGTAGGAGGAAAGCTCAAGAGGTTGGTTGGCGAACATGTTTGAAACAATGTCCCATGCCGATCTTATTCGGGTGTTGGTAACTATGTGGGCAATTTGGTATGCAAGAAGGAAGGTGAAGGCCTCAGAAACGAAGGCCCGCACATCGAGAAGGTTCTAGAGATGAAGACTTGCGCCCCGAGTGAAGCCGATGAACCATGTTACAGACGCAGCAGAAGGAGCCAAAGCCCAAAGATGAAGATGTCCGAAAGATCAAGGCGCTTGGAGCTAGAATCGAAGCCTTGGGAATTGGAGCATGTATAAGTTAGAGTCGTGCACGTGCTCTTTTCTCCATGCCCTTTTTTCCCATAGGGTTTTTTGGATGGAGTTTTTAGTGAGCCACACACGTGCAAGTTACGAAGGGCGATCCTTGCAACCAAGGTTTGAGTTGTATTGTGCCTCTTCTTGTATGAGCATCGAGCATCTACTAGGTCATGTAGTACCGGCCATAACCTAGTAGCTAAGGGGCTACTGTTGGGGGAGCCCATATTCATATAGGCCAAACTCCCCCTTATAAACTAGGATGTAAAATGTCGTTGCCTATATATAATGCCAAGAGCATGACGATAAGAAACTCTCCCCTCTCACTCATTTGCAAATCCTAATCACCAACTCTCCTCTCTCTACCTGCTTAACATGTTCAGAATGCAAGTTTCCAACAAATACTATCTTGTTTCAACTATGTTAGTTTCAGTTAATAATTATTCAATTCCTCACGTAATCAAGAAATTTGTCTCAAGAGAAATTGAATGGTTGACAACTATATGCATTGAGGAACAACTTTATTCAATCTAGTTTATAAAAATGCTTTTGTATATATTTCATATATTTATTGGTAACATTATTACATAAATATGAGTATTATTGATATGATATTTATAATAAGGGCCTCGATTTCAGAGTGTCACTCTATGTCCTAGTAAACTCAGCACCGGGACTGCTCTAGTGTCGGAGGGGGCTCCCACTCTGCTAGTTGGCCATGGCGGCGGTGGGTGTGGGATGCATCGTGCAAGGTCTCGTGGATGGGTGGTGGAATAGATGGGAAGATGAGAGAGCCGCGCGAGCAGTGATTATAGGACCATGAGTACGTGAGTTCGAGTTGGATATGCGGTCGCGAAAAAATAGAATCGGATGCACGGTCGAGTCGGATACACGCGCGAGTAGTATTCTTTTCTCTCTCATTCATTTGCGATCCAAGAATAGATTAAAGCAGGAACCACGGATGGATTTAATCAAAAGTATAAAAAAATCGGTGGCCAAGAAATGGACGAATTTCAGAAAATTCAGTCAATTATTTTGACTAGTCAAAAATTTATAGTTTGATAAAGTTTTATCAAAATTTGAGCAAAGTTGAAGAAAGCCATGGCACCGCAACTATGCATATGTAGCGTCAACAACGAAAAGGATTCCTTCTGATTCTCAAAGAATGAGGGGCAAGGGGATTGATACCGAGAAACTTTTCTTCCATGCTTGACCCAAAGCCTTTCTCAAGCAGTTCATCATGCTAGATGGCACTCAACTTCTCTTGTCAGTTATCCAGATGCCCTCCAAGCAAACTAACCTTGCTAAGTGCTAGCCAGGTGAAAGTTCTTATCGCTAGTAGTTACTCGTTTCATATTGCTTACTATTTTTATATAGCTAGAAAGTTGAGTAAGAAGTTCTTTTATTCTATAGAAAAATCACTTTCTTGTTTTGTTTTTCTCATTATATAACGCTGAGAAGAAGGTTCCTTTTTGGGTATCCCCGGGAAGAGATCCAGTTCAACACACACATTTTGTGTGGGTGCACAGTGCATGGCTCTATGAAGTGAACACAAAAGCAGAAGTAGCAAAAAAAACACTTAAAGGTGCAGTGTTACCACACTTCGTTAAATTTATCGACACCGCTAGCGCCCGGACGCCGGTGCACTGGTGCCTGCTTCTTCTTTCCTACGCTCAGCCTACCCCCGCCCATCCTCTTGCGCCTATGCCCGACTGCTCCTCCCTCGCCCTCCCCCGCTGGCCACCACCCCGCCACGGCGTGGTAGGGTCTCGCCGGAGCTCCGCCACCGCGGCCGCGAAGCTTCAGTGAGACCCTACTGCGCCAGCGGTGGCCTCCTTCTTCCCTCCCCCCTCCCGCCACCGCCATCTTCCCCAACTCCAGTGAGCACTGCCGTGACTCCCCCGCCCGACCTGGCCTGGCCACCGCCGCCGCCGCCAGGGCCCCTAACCGCCCGGCCACCATCCCCACTGTCTGGCCGGCCCCTTCTATATACCGGAGTTGGAGAAGAAAGAGGGGAGAGCCAGGAGAGGGAGGCCGTCGCCGCCGTGCTGAAACCCTAGCTGGAGCGGGTGCGGAGGTGGAGGTGTCGTGGGAGTGGCCGCGAAGACCGGAGCGGGCGCGCGTCCAGACACCCGAGTCCCGTCATTACCATAAATTTATCCACCTGAGCTAGTAGATGAAATGCACTGGGCAAAATTGGGAACATTGCAGATGCTGTTGCTGCCTGCTAGCAGAAATTTTGAGGGGCATGATGGAAACGTGCCAGATGTAAGCTTTCTAAATCTATTCGAGTTTGCAAGCTTTAACGCCTTTTTTGTTCATCCATCATGCTTTTTTTAATGGAATGGCATGAGCTCTATTCAATTAAGAAAAACTAAAGTTGACCTAATTTACAAAAAAAACTAGGCATGACAACCTTACAATCAACTAGTCAATGTCGTGTGTTGCTACGAGTGATAAAACTATGTTAATCCAATTTGTTAAGAAGAGTTTTCGAAACAATGTTGGCGCCAGTAATGAAGTTAAAGAGACACATGATCTATTAATTTGCATCACCGGTATAAGTTGGAAGTGAAATGTTAATCAAACTATATAAGTCATGTATATCAACAAATGTAGCCTTATCAAAATCCGCCGAAATGAACATCAATCAAACTCTATGACAGTTTGCGGCACCGCTTTGCGCGGCAACAATAACACTAATCAGCATTCCAAGAAACGCGCCCTTCTCAAGCTCCTGATCCCCGGCTATGGCAGTCCCGGTAGGAGAAGTGATTGATCTTTGGAAAAAGTCTACTTAACCCCCTCAAATATTCATGGTTGTCTACTTCACCCCTTCACCTATAAAACTAGTTATTCTACCCCCTTAAACTATTAAAAACCGTCTAAGTGAACCCCTGAGACGGTTTTGAAGGTGGTTTTGCTAACATGGCATATTAAAAAGTCTACATAACCCCCTAATGTATCAGAGGTTGACTACATAACCCCCTGAGTTTTTTATGCCATTCATTCTCCGGTCTTCCCTCCCTCCCTCTCCCGCCCTCTCTTGTATTGCCCGGAGCCGCTACCGCTGCAAAAAAAATAGAGAGAAGCTGTGACCTCACATGCACCGCAAGTGACCTACTATCCAAGTCATCAACCACGTTGTACTGCCCACATTGGATTTAATCACAAAATAAAACCAATATGCCCTATTTGTGGACCACTTAAATAGGTTTTTGACCCAGAAATACAAA